TATTGAAGCAACATCTCAAGACATCAGTCAGGAAGTTAAACCTTGGTCGCAAATGGGTCTTCCAAATGGACAATGACCCCAAGCATACTTCCAAAGTTGTGGCAAAATGGCTTAAGGACAACAAAGTCAAGATATTGGAGTGGCCATCACAAAGCCCTGACCTCAATCCTATAGAAAAGTTGTGGGAAGAACTGAAAAAGCGTGTGTGAGCAAGGAGGCCTACAAACCTGACTCAGTTACACCAGCTCTGTCAGGAGGAATGGGCCAAAATTCACCCAGCTTATTGTGGGAAGCTTGTGGAAGGCTACCCGAAACGTTTGACCCAAGTTAAACAATTTAAAGGCAATGCTACCAAATACTAATTGAGTGTATGTAAACTTCTGACCCACTGGGAATGTGATGAAAGAAAAAAAAGCTGAAATAAATCTCTCTCTATTATATTTCTGACATTTCAAATTCTTAAAATAAAGTGGTGATCCTAACTGACCTAGGACAGGGAAATTTTACTAAGATTAAATGTCAGGAATTGTGAAAAACTGAGTTTAAATGTATTTGGCTAAGGTGTATGTAAACTTCCGCCTTCAACTGTAAGTATTCAGACCCTTTGCTATGAGACTCGAAATTGAGCTCAGGTTTATCCTGTTTCCATGGATCATCCTTGAGATGTTTCTACAACTTGATTGGAGTCCACCTTTGGTAAATTTAATTGTTTGGATATGATTTGGAAAGGCACACACCTGTCTATATAAGGTCGACAGTGCATGTCAGAGCAAAAACCAAGCCATGAGGTCGAAGGAATTGTCCATAGAGCTCCGAGACAGGATCTTGGGAAGGGTACCAAAAATGTTCTGCATCATTTAAGGTTTCCAAGAACACCATGGCCTCCATCATTCTTAAATGGATGAAGTTTGGAACCAACAAGACTCTTCCTAAAGCTGGCCCCCTGGCCAAACTGAGAAATCGGGGGAGAAGGGCATTGGTCAGGGAGGTGGCCAAGAACCCCATGGTCACTCTGACAGAGCTCTAGAGTTCCTCTGTGGAGATGGGAGAAATCTCCAGAAGGACAACCATCTCTGCAGCACTCCACCAATCAGGCCTTTATGGTAGAGTGGCCAGTAAATGTACATGACAGCCCGCTTGGAGTTTGCCAAAAGGCACCTAAAGACTCTCAGACCATGAGAAACAAGATTATCTGGTCTGATGAAACCAAGATTGAACTCTGGCCTGAATGCCAAGCGCAACGTCTGGAGGAAACCTGGCACCATCCCTACGGTGAAGCATGGTGGTGGCAGCATTTTTCTGTGGGGATGTTTTTCAGCAGCAGGGACTGGGAGACTAGTCAGGATCGAGGCAAAGATTAACTGAGCAAAGTACAGAGAGATCCTTGATTAAAACCTGCTCCAGAGCGCTCAGGACCGCAGACTGGGTCAAAGGTTCACCTTCCAATAGGACAACGACCCTAAGTACACAGTCAAGACAACGCAGGAGTGGCTTCGGGACAAGTCTCTGAATGTCCTTGAGTGGCCCAGCCAGAGCCTGGACTTGAACCCGATCGAACATCTCTGGAGAGACCTGAAAATAGCTGTGCAGCAACGCTACATACCCAACCTGACAGAGCTTGAGAGGATCTGCAGAGAAGAATGGGAGAAACTCCCCAAATACAGATGTGCCAAGCTTGTAGCAAAATACCGAAGAAGACTCGATGCTGTAATCGCTGCCAAAGGTGCTTCAACAAAGTACTGAGTAAAGGGTCTGAATACTTATGTAAATGTAATATTTCCGTATTTTTATTTTTTATAAATGAGCAAACATTTTTAAAAAAACTGTTTTTGCTTTGTCATTATGTGGTATTGTGTGTAGATTGATGGGGGGGGGGGGGGGGGGGAACAACTTAATCCATTTTAGAATAAGGCTGTGGAAAAAGTAAAGGGGTCTGAATCCTTTCCGAAGGCAGTGTATATGGTGACTTTATATCAAACAACAAGCACGAGGTGAGAACGTCTTTCATAACAGATCCCTCAGTCACCTTTCACTGGGAAGTCTATAGAAACAACAACACGGGAGAAAACAGTAGAGTCCTAGTGATGTGTGTGACAGGACCTGGTTTGCATCCCAAATAGTACCCTATTCCCTTTATAGTGCACTACTTTTGATCAGGGTCCATAGTCTCTTGTCTAAAGTAGTGAACTATATAGGTAATAGAGGGCCATTAATTTTGAGACGCAGCCTATGAGTGCTGGACTCATTCTCACATCAACCACCTGTTTGCACCTTGAGTCGTAAGGTGCAATGTAACATTCATGGAGGAAACAGACATGCTTAGCTTCCAAGATAGGTTATTATAGTCAGATGAAGGCTAATGGATGCGGCATGATTAGATGTTAATAGAAATGATACATGCTTTAAAATGGGCTAGGAGTTTAATCTTAATGTTGCATAATGACACACAAAGAGCAAAGTAATAAATACATTTTGCGCCTACAAAGTCTGCCAAAACAATATTTAGATACGGAGACAATACAATAGATTACTGACAGAAAGTGGACATGTTTATTTTCAGCATTGTCAGTTTGCCCAGATCCTTTTATGTGGTGTGAGGACGCACCCTGAGTGTTTATAGACGTCTTGACGATGTGAAGGTGTCATTCCTTTGATCTTGGCTTTAGGTGACATGCCCAATGCGGCTGATAATGGGAGCCATGTTTAGCTCAGTCCTCAATGGCTCTACAGAAACAGTGTGAGATATTTCCCTTAAACAATGTAAACTACGCTTTGGTCCTATTATTGCTCACACAATTTTTATTTGGCGCAAAATTGAAAAACAATTTCACTAGGAATCAAAATGGCATGCCCATACTCCAATATTTCACAATAATGCCTTGCGATCTGGAGGACGGCCTTTTGCATCCCCCCAATGGTCCAAATGTGGAATCTTTACCGATATCATGGACAGTAATGGTTTGAGAACATTCCAAGTTTTGAAAGATACATACACATTACCAGGCAACTCCTTTTTTTCTATATTTACAACTTAGGTCAGCTATGCGAAACTCAACTACCAAAACATCTAATGATGGGATTTATAAATAAATAATCCGGGCTCCCGAAAGGACTGATCTCTATAATATATAAACAACTTTTGGAAAGCTCATATTCTGAGCTAGCCATCAAAAAAGTATGGTTCACAGATCAAATTGAATCCGAACCACCCTTTAACTGGAACAGAATATGGAAAAATATGACCTTGGCATCCCTTAATTCGAACCACCAATTTATACATTTTAAGTTTGTTCACAGACTGTATTTAACACCAACAAAACATTTTACAATGAAATAGATGGGGTGTGAAGCATGGTTTCTGGGTGGGGATGGAGGATGCGGGCAGGTGGATAGGGACTGAATGGGGAATGTGTTTGGGTTATCTTTGTATGCATTTATTTGATTGATTTTGTATCTGTAACCCCCCTCTGAAAAATAAAAATGACAAAACTTAATAAAAGGTTGGTCACAAAAAAAGAAATAGTGTCCGACGAATTCTGACCTCTAAGTTCATCTACCCTACAATTGAGTGTAAAAGCTATAATAAATTAAGCCTAACACTTTTGGTATAAACTAATCCTCTCCTGGAGAATAATAAGAGAAGATAATCCAACAAAAATCTCTGAATGGAAATATAGCCTACTCTCAGAGGACATTGAGAGTTGCTTGCAGGAGGACATTACAATCCCTCCATCCCACCCCCTCCTTCCTTCCCACCCTCTATATATCCCTCTCTCTTATCTGTCACCCTCTCTCCACTGGCCCATAATTAGCCCCCAAGGAAACCTCTGCCCCCTTGCCACCCAGCTCTCTACCCCCTGGAGGAGGCAGTAAGCCCGTTTATAGCTCTCTGAGAGTGTCCTCATCTCCCCTGTAACAGGCACACTGAGACTGAGGAAGGGCTGCGGCCTGCCTGTTACAGACTGAAGGAGAGACGGGGAGGAAACGAGGACACAGGAAGGAAGCTAGTAAGACCCCTCAGAATGAAGCTTGGGTCGTATTCACTGGGCACTAAACAGAATAACATTTACTGAAACAGGGAGGGACTATTCAAACTTGTCCATTAAGAATATCAAATTGTAGTTTTCTGTTGCAAAATATTTTGTTACATTTTGCTACTGTGTGCACTAATTAATACAACCATGTTTTGCCTGTAAGGAATCCAATATTGCTGAATTTTACTGGTGCACTTTAATTATTTGTTTTTAATGTTTAATTACATTTTTTACTTAACAATTATTTTTCTTAAAACTGCAATGTTGGTTAAGGGCTTGCAAGTAAGCATTTCTCTGTAAGGTCTACACCTGTTGTATTCGGCGCATGTGACAAATACAATTTGATTTGATTTGATTTGAATAAGAGCTTTGAGGAGATGTACTGTGACTATATCTGGGTTTGCTAAACAGGCTGATGTGCTTCTCGAGGGGAATTTTTGTAACTTCCTTCACCTCTCATTTCATCTAGAAGTGATGCTTTTTCATTGATTCAAATCGAGTTAAGTGAGGCAAATTAAAATTGGGGCCAGATGAACAGAGAGAACGAGGGAGATCAATTTACGATGCAGGAGCGAGTGGGACAGGAGGTGAAGTGAAACATTGCCGAATCCAAATAGGGTTCTGTGGGGTGCAGCGAGACACGGGGTGAAGGATGAGCGAGCGATCGAAACGGCAATTAACCGAGCAATGAGAAGGCGAAAGCGCGACTGACATTAATAACCTTCTCATAGAGAGACTGAGTCAAGATTTACAGTCACACACTGTCAGAGAGGAGGCTCGACTGAAGAGCTCATCACTTCTACACAAACTTAACCTTCAACTGTCCTACACACTCTTTACTGAAGGATAGTGATCATTCAACTTTAATGCACTTTGTAGATCTGATACACCTGTATGACTGGAAAGAGATAGAGAGCGCCAGAATACATGACAGTAAAACCACAACCAGATTGCATAGTGTGCTGTTTAGGTTGGTACACAACTGTATTTCACATCGCATACTACTGTAGATAGGCTACAAACCAGTCTATTGCAGCGAACACAGGATGCGTCTCAAATGGCACCTTATTCCCTATATTGAGCATTACGTTTGACCAGGCCCCTGGTCAGAAATGGTACCCCATTCCCTTTTTTTGCACTACTTTTGATCAGGGCCCTATATAGGGAATAGGGTGCCTTTTGGGACACACCCACAGACATCTATCAGTGTGTCATTTACCTGTCTCTCATTTCCAGTCCGTTCCAGCAGAGGGAGTGGTTGCCTGGCGCTGCAGGATCGCGGCTACACAGAGCCTCTCCCAGACCACTGTAGAAGGAGCTGAAGCCCCTCAGGCTGGAGATAAACTCCCTGAGGGATAGAGGAGAAGAGAAGAGAAAAGAGGGAAATAGCTTTAATAATGGTAATGAATGGTATTATTTTTATCTTATTTTGGTCAGCAAAAAGGAGGGGAGAGGGGGAGAGAAAGAGAAAAAATAATGAGAGGGAGGGGGGAACATAGATAAAACTGCAAATTAAGCATCATTATTTGAGATCGAGAGAGAGAGAGAAGAGGAAGTGGTATAGAACGGAGGAAATAAAATAGTATAATGGTGGGGATAGTGAAGGAGCACCGCAGCCTCAGAACGCAGCAGCCCGCCTGGTGTTCAACATTCCCAAGTTCTACCATGTCACCCCGCTCCTCCGCACACTCCACTGGCTTCCAGTCGAAGAGCAGCAAGGAGAACTGCCCCTCCCTACCTTCAGCCTATGCTCAAACCCTATACCCCACCCCCTGGCAGCTCCCGCTCAGCCCAGTCAAAGCTCTTCTCTGTCCTGGCTGGCACACCAACAGTGGAAGCAGCTTCCCCCTGAAGCTAGGACAGCACAGTCCCTCATCTGTGTCCCAAATGGCAACCTATTTTCTTTATAGTGCACTACTCTGGTCGTGAACTAACTATAATGGGAGTAGGGTACCATTTTGGATTCAAGTGTTTCTGTTCCTAATAGACATGAATCTGGCCACTCTGCTGAAGCCAACGGCCTGCTGAGCATCACTACTCTGTTCATACCTGTTACTGGAATGCGTTTCAAACGCACTGGGCTAGAGGGATGCTCACTGTCACTTTCATAGTAGATTAGGCTAGTAGCACACACAGGCAAGCAGGCATGCACAAGCACGCACACACGCGCACACATACACACTAGCAGGAGCACACACAGCGTACAAACAAGCGCAAACACACACACACTTTAACCAGCCTGTCAGAGTCACTGCCATCCTCAACTCACCTGCTCCAGTCCAGCACTTCAACACTGACTACTACAGCACTGGCATTACATCACACAGACATTAATATGGCAAGCACTACTGCCAGAGACTTTACTAGGACACACACCACAAACAACATCCTAAATTAACACAGGCTTGTCCTGGCAGTGTAGAAAGAGCAAAAGTGTATGAGGTCTATCTATGGTACATAGCAAATCTGTCTCATATTAATCAATACATTTTTACACAAGGACCTGGTTGCCCACTAGAGTGCTTATTTAAATGCACTTATGAGTGCTTTGGTTGAGAGCAAAATCTGGACCCTAGATCTTTCCCTCAGCTCCTACTCACCCATTCAGTGTTTGCAGATCTCAAGGAAAGTGTAGTGACAAAATGATAGCTAGATGCTCCCCTAAACCCACATGAAAAATATTACAGTTTACTATAGAACACTACAGTACTTACTATATAATTCTGTAGTAAACTGTAGTATACTATACTAGATACTGTAGTATCCCTTGATCATGTGTAGTACTTACTATAGAATTTTGGGTCCTGCTTTAAATGACGTTCAGCTTATAAAGGATTCATAAAGCCTTCATAATACCTTCATAAACACCACATAAATGTGTTACAAAGTATCTAAAACTGTATGTCATGCTTTATAAAGGGTTCATAAATGTGGCATAACACTGTGACATAATCATCCATGTCAAATGTGACATAACCCACTATGTCGAATATGATATAAACATGTCCTTTATAAAGGGTGACAAGTTGGATCGAAGGATTAGAATAGTGAAGTCATGTTAGTTACATTACACCTAATCTCATTCCCAGACACTTCCGCCCAAATGTGCGGAAGGTCTGGTGGACCAACGCACCAAACTTAGCCTTCATTAGTTAGGGTTAGGTTTAAAATCCAATTTTAAGATGATAAATTGTGGAAATGGGCAGGGTTTAGCCATAATTATGGTCCTGTGTTAACTAATGATGATGACAAATACTTTACTCAGTAATGTCAATCCTATAGAATTCGATGGTCATTCCCAGTGGTGACCCATCATTCAGGGCGGGTGGGGCAGGTAATGTTCTCTAGTTGAAGCCTTTATAAGCTGCACGCCATTTAAAGTGGGACCAAATTTGGTCATATACTGTAGAATAAATAGTATAATAGTAAATACTACATTATAAACTGGGTGGTTTGAGCCCTGAATTCTGATTGGCTGAAGGCCGTGGTATATCAGACCGTATACCACAGGTATGACAAAACATTTAGTTTTACTGCTCTAATTACATTGGTAACCAGTTTATAATAGCAATAAGGCTCCTCGGGGGTTTGTGATATATGGCCAATATACCACGGCTAAGGGCTGTGTCCAGGCACTCTGCGTTGCGTCATGCGTAAGAACAGCTCTTAGCCGTGGTATATTGGCCATATACCACACCACCTCGGGCCTTATTGCTTAAGTATACTACAGACTGCAACAACACTACAATACTACAGTAGTTAATATAGTATATACTATAGTATTCATTTATATACCCTGCCTATTCCCTTCCTGCATATCCCAATTTGTGCCACCCATAAGTGAGAAATCTACATTCCAAGTATAGACCATATATTGTGTTCCCTATATCAGTCCTACCTACCTACCTACAATACAGGTTATGGAAAAATAGCTCTTTTAGGATTTTGTCCAGCAGGTTTCCTCAAGGAGAAAGCATCCACTTCTATCTCAAAGATAATAGAACACTACAGTAAATACTACAGTATACTACAGTCCGCAAAAACACTACAGCAATTACTATAGTATTTATACCATAGTATACCATAGTATGTTTCCATGTGGGAGCTCATCTAGAAGGCTAGCCCACATGAACCTGTCTGCTTTCTTCAGCTCAAACACTGAAGTGTTACAGTTGGGTCTAGGGCTTGTTTCTGGACCGGGCCTTAAGATGTCCTCGTTAGTTAGCAGCATGACATGAACAACCCGTCTTTTCCTTTCTCTTTTCCTTTCTCCTCTCTCTCTGCTCTCTCGCCCTTTCTCTCTTCTATCACCCTCCTATATTCCTCCTCCTTCTTTCCTCTCGGTCACACACCCCCTGTCTGTTCTCCCAGTCTGAGTGACTTAATTTCATCCCCAACATTACCTGCGGCGGCCAGCCAAGGTCTCCTCAGGATAGTAGGGTAAATGCTGTGGGTTGTGGGATGCTGTGGCAGCAGGGGTCTGGTCAGGATGGGGCGCCACTGAGCGAGACACCCGTTGAAGCTGGTGGCCACACGTACTGCTCACCTGGTGGGAAGGATGGAGGGACGGAGTGAGAGTGGGAGAGAGAGGGAGAGGTAACCATGAGAGACAGGACATACTGTTCATATACACCTTATCATTATCTAGTAGCATTAACTCACATTGACTCCTGAGAGTAAATGAGGCCTCAACAGTCAAACCTGTTGGCTGTCATATTTGTGTCCCTATTCAGCTCCGCCACTCCTCTATTGTCGTGTGTTATTGTTTGTTTATTTTGGGAGGAATAAGAGAGGGAATTTGAATAACAAACAAGTCATTCTTTCCTCCGCCTGTGACGTTTCAGTTTTGTTCTTTTTGTAATCACAACCCTCCACAAAGCGCTGGCTAGCTTCTTCCCTGGGTTAAACATCATTGTTTCCAACACAGGACGACACAGCAATAATAACTAAGAAGCCTCTCTCTCTGTATCTGGGAGATAATGGAGTCATGCCATTCTTTTAAGGTGCAATAAAAATGCAAATGTTTAGCTTCTGGTTTGATTTCCCAGGGGATTACAGCCAGGGCTTAATTCTGCCTTGTAATGCGCTGACCAACTGGCAAGTGTCTTCACTGACATTTTCAACCTGTCCCTGACTGAGTCTGTAATACCAACATGTTTCAAGCAGACCACCATAGTCTCTGTGCCCAAGAACACTATGGTAACCTACCTAAATGACTACCGACCCTCAGCACTCACATCTGTAGCCATGAAGTGCTTTGAAAGGCTGGTCATGGCTCCCAGAAACCCTAGACCCACACCAATTTGCATACCGCCCCAATAGATCCACAGATGATGCAATCTCTATTGCACTCCACACTGCCCTTTCTCACCTGGAGAATGCTATTCATTGACTACAGCTCAGTGTTCAACACCATAGTGCCCTCAAAGCTCATCACTAAGCTAAGTACCCTGAGACTAAACACCTCCCTCTGCAACTGGACCCCGGACTTGCTGACGGGCCGCCCCCAGGTGGTAAGGGTAGGTAACAACACATCTGCCACGCTGATCCTCAACTCGGGGGCACCTCAGGGGTGCGTGCTCAGTCCCCTCCTGTACTCCCTGTTCAGCCATGACTGCATGGCCAGGCACGACTCCAACACCATCATTAAGTTTGCCGATGACACAACAGTGGTAGGCATGATCACCGATAACGATGAGGCAGCCTATAGGGAGGAGGTCAGAGACCTGGCCGTGTGGTGCCAGGATAACAAACTCTCCCTCAACGTGATCAAGACAAAGGAGATGATTGTGGACTACAGGAAAAGGAGGACCGAGCACGCCCCCATTCTCATCGACGGGGCTGTAGTGGAGCAGGTTGAGAACTTCCTTGGTGTCCTCAGCACCAAAAATCTATCGTGGTCCAAACACACCAAGACAGTCGTGAAGAGGGCACAACAAAGCCTATTCCCCCTCAAGATTTGGCATGGGTCCTCAGATCCTCAAAATGTTCTACAGCTGCACCATCGAGAGCATCCTGACTGGTTGCATCACCGCCTGGTATGGCAACTGCTTGGCCTCCGACCGCAAGGCACTACAGAGGGTAGTGCGTACGGCCCAGTACATCACTGGGGCCAAGCTTCCTGCCATCCAGGACCTCTATACCAGGCGGTGTCAGAGGAAGGCCCTAAAAATTGTCAAAGACTCCAGCCACCCTAGTCATAGACTGTTCTCCCTGCTACAAAACGGCAAGCTGCACCGGAGCGCCATGTCTAGGTCCAAAAGGCTTCTTAACAGCTTCTACCCCCAAGACTCCTGAACAGCTAATCAAATGGCTACCCGGACTAGTTCCACATCGTGTGTGCGAGTGCGTGTTTGAGCAGGATCCTGCCGGAACAGGATCCGGCACCACTCAGATTTGACTTTGTTTTTTCCGGCACCTATTTGCCCAGATCTGGTACCTCTCGCGGCATGATTTCTTAATTATTTCACTATTCGCACTGTAGAAAATCTAATAAAAGCAATCAGCATTAAATCAAGTTGCCCCCTCGTTATTTCTCCCGCCCCCCAGAAAGACTATTATGTAAAAGCGCGGTGATCCTTCTATGTATTCATCCTATCCTGCCACACTGATTCCAGACCTGCTCTCTTATTTATACATACAAAAAAGAATTTGATCCCCTGCTGATTTTGTACGTTTGCCCACTGACAAAGACATGATCAGTCTATAATTTTAATTGTAGGTTTATTTGAACAGTGAGAGACAGAATAACAACAAAAAAATCCAGAAAAACGCATGTCAAAAATGTTATGAATTGATTTGCATTTTAATGAGGGAAATAAGTATTTGACCCCTCTGCAAAACATGACTTAGTACTTGGTGGCAAAACCCTTGCTGGCAATCACAGAGGTCAGACGTTTCTTGTAGTTGGCCACCAGGTTTGCACACATCTCAGGAGGGATTTTGTCCCACTCCTCTTTGCAGATCTTCTCCAACTCATTAAGATTTCGGGGCTGACGTTTGGCAACTCGAACCTTCAGCTCCCTCCACAGATTTTCTATGGGATTAAGGTCTGGAGACTGGCTAGGCCACTCCAGGACCTTAATGTGCTTCTTCTTGAGCCACTCCTTTGTTGCCTTGGCTGTGTGTTTTGGGTCATTGTCATGCTGGAATACCCATCCATGACCAATTTTCAATGCCCTGGCTGAGGGAAGAAGGTTCTCACCCAAGATTTGACGGTACATGGCGCCGTCCATCGTCCCTTTGATGCAGTGAAGTTGTCCTGTCCCCTTAGCAGAAAAACACCCCCAAAGCATAATGTTTCCACCTCCATGTTTGATGGTGGGGATGGTGTTCTTGGGGTCATAGACAGCATTCCTCCTCCTCCAAACACGGCGAGTTGAGTTGAAGCTAAAGAGCTCGATTTTTGTCTCATCTGTTCACAACACTTTCACCCAGTTCTCCTCTGAATCATTCAGATGTTCATTGGCAAACTTCTGACGGGCCTGTATATGTGCTTTCTTGAGCAGGGGGACCTTGCGGGCGCTGCAGGATTTCAGTCCTTCACGGCGTAGTGTGTTACCAATTGTTTTATTGGTGACTATGGTCCCAGCTGCCTTGAGATCATTGACAAGATCCTCCCGTGTAGTTCTGGGCTGATTCTTCACCGTTCTCATGATCATTGCAACTCTACGAGGTGAGATCTTGCATGGAGCCCCAGGCCAAGGGAGATTGACAGTTCTTTTGTGTTTCTTCCATTTGCGAATAATCACACCAACTGTTGTCACCTTCTCACCAAGCTGCTTGGCGATGGTCTTGTAGCCCATTCCAGCCTTGTGTAGGTCTACAATCTTGTCCCTGACATCCTTGGAGAGCTCTTTGGTCTTGGCCATGGTGGAGAGTTTGGAATCTGATTGATTGCTTCTGTAGACAGGTGTCTTTTATACAGGTAACAAGCTGAGATTAGGAGCACTCCCTTTAAGAGTGTGCTCCTAATCTCAGCTCGTTACCTGTATAAAAGACATCTGGGAGCCAGAAATCTTTCTGATTGAGAGGGGGTCAAATACTTATTTCCCTCATTAAAATGCAAATCAATTTATAACATTTTTGACATGCGTTTTTGGATTTTGTTGTTGTTATTCTCTCTCTCACTGTTCAAATAAACCTACCATTAAAATTATAGACTGATCATTTCTTTGTCAGTGGGCAAACGTACAAAATCAGCAGGGGATCAAATACTTTTTTCCCTCACTGTAGAGGTTATGGGGAGGGCCAGTGGGGTAAGTAACTGATCTTACACAGGTCTTGATAGTGGTGGTCAGCTAGTGAAGAGGTCCCTACGTAATCATGTCACGTAGCCTAAAGTCTAGTCATCTCCCTACTGAATTTGAATCGTGGGAAAGCCAAATAAATGTTTTATAAGAAAAGGCAGTCGAGTTTGACATTTTTCAAGTCCAAAAATCCAGAGATAGACGGTGAATCGAACCCAGAACAAGCCAGAGAACTGTCAGTGCTGGAGGAGAGGAGTGAGGGGCAAACTGTTCCTGATGGCGATGCTAATCCCGCCAGTTCAGCATCACCACCGGCACCTCCACAAGCTAGTAGGCCTACTAGCGAGTCAGACTCAGCGGGAAACAGAGACAGGGGGGAGGGGGGCAGTGCATCCACCAACGAAGTGCTCGAAGCAGGTGCAATTTGCAGTTCAAGAACAAGCAAACGTATAACCCCTGGCTTGTCATGCAGAATTCAAAGTTGGGCTGTACAACATGCAAAATGGTAGGGAGCTTCGGTCTAGAAACGACTGGAGGGATTAAACTAGCAGAAGAGTGGGTGGAATGTACAGTAAATTAACATCCTATGCATCAGACATAAAAAAGCAAACAACAAAGAGCCCTCAGAAAAAATGTTTTTTACATGCCTGAACCAAGGCGCATTTGGTGGCAGCAAGCCTTGTAGACAAGGCTAAAGAGGACACCCAGGTTAACACTCAAAATGAAAAAAATAATAGACACAGCCAGAGTCTTCAGAACAGCCTTAGAAGGAGTCTAAACATCATTGGGAGAATCATTGTGGGATGTTTGGAAACTAAGGTAGGACATTTATTTTCCTTTACCTTCACAGCACAGAACAAGTTTGTAATCTGAATATGTGCTTCATATTATCACATAGGCAGGAGGCCTATATATTCTCATATGTGTGTTCTGCTGTAGCCTACATTGAATGTGTTTATTTGAAGTTATATTCTGATATTGTGATATTTGTTCTACTGCTACACTGATGTCTTGAAAATTATGAAATTTGGGCATATGGCGGGTGTTCTGCAGTGTCGTCTAAAATTTTTACTGTACATTGATATCTAGACTATTAGGCTATAAAAAATTCAGACATGTGTAAGCCCTGCAGCTATACTCAAGTAGGTGGGCATACTGCAGTGACGTCTAAAATGCTTTGAATTAATTAGCACCTCGGAGAGTGCTGTCCGTTTCACCACCATAGACAATAGGGTACTTGGCTGCTACGTTGTGTTTCACACTTTTTTTCTCAATGTGTTCCGGTACCTCAGAGCCCCCCACGATAACCTGTACAGTTGAAGTCGGAAGTTTACATACAATTAGGTTGGAGTCATTAAAACTTGTTTTTCAACCACTCCACAAATTTCTTGTTAACAAACTAGAGTTTTGGCAAGTCGGTTAGGAAATCTACTTTGTGCATGACAAGTAATTTTTCCAACAATTGTTTACAGACAGATTATTTCAATTATAAATTCACTGTATCACAATTCCAGTGGGTCAGAAGTTTACATACACTGTTGACTGTGCCTTTAAACAGCTTGGAAAATTCCAGAAAATGATGTCATGGCTTTAGAAGCTTCTGATAGGCTAATTGACATCATTTGAGTCAACTGGAGGTGTACCTGTGGATATATTTCAAGGCCTACCTTCAAACTCAGTGCCTTTTTGCTTGACATCATGGGAAAACAAAATAAATCAGCCAAGACCTCAGAAAAAGATTGTAGACCTCCACAAGTCTGGTTCATCCTTGGGAGCAATTTCCAAACGTCTGATGGTACCACGTTTATCTGTACAAACAATAGTACGCACGTATAAACACTGTGGGACCACGCAGCCGTCATACCGCTTAGGAAGGAGACGCATTCTGTCTCCTAGATATGAACATACTTTGGTGCGAAAAGTGGAAATCAATCCCAGAACAACAGCAAAGGACCTTGTGAAGATGCTGGAGGAAACAGGTAGAAAAGTATATATATCCACAGTACAACAAGTCCTATATCGACATAACCTGAAAGACCGCTCAGCAAGGAAGAAGCCACTGCTCCAAAACCGCCATAAAAAAGCCTGACTACGTTTGCAACTGCACATGGGGACAAAGATCGTACTTTTTGGAGAAATGTCCTCTGGTCTGATGAAACAAAAATAGAACTGTTTGGCCATAATGACCATCCTTATGTTTGGAGGAAAAAGGGGATTGCTAGCAAGCCGAAGAACACCATCCCAACCGTGAAGCACGGGGGTGGCAGCATCATGCTGTGGGGGTGCTTTGCTGCAGGAGGGGATGGTGCACTTCACAAAATAGATGGCAGCATGAGGAAGGAAAATTATGTGGATATATTGAAGCAACATCTCAAGACATCATTCAGGAAGTTAAAGCTTGGTCTCAAATGGGTCTTCCAAATGGACAATGACCCCAAGCATACTTCCAAAGTTGTGGCAAAATGGCTTAAGGACAACAAAGTCAAGGTATTGGAGTGGCCATCACAAAGCCCTGACCTCAATCCTATAGAAAATTTGTGGACAGAACTGAAAAAGCGTGTGGAGCAAGGAGGCCTACAAACCTGACTCCGTTACACCAGATCTGTCAGGAGGAATGGGCCAAAATTCACCCAACTTCTTGTGGGAAGCTTGTGAAAGGCTACCCGAAACGTTTGACCAAAGTTAAACAATTTAAAGGCAATGCTACCAAATACTAATTGAGTGTATGTAAACTTCTGACACAATGGGAATGTGATGAAATAAATAAAAGCTGAAATAAATCATTCTCTCTACTATTATTCTGACATTTCACATTCTTAAAATAAAGTGGTGATCCTAACTGACCTAAGACAGATGGTTTTTACTAGGATTAAATGTCAGGAATTGTGAAAAACTGAGTTTATATGTATTTGGCTAAGGTGTGTGTAAACTTCCGACTTGAACTGTACATATTACCCTGCACAGGTAATTCTTCCAATTCCCACTATTTCACAGCATTATCATCATACTGCTACAGATAACCATATTGCCAGGGGTATTGTCAGTAATAGTCTTGTGACAATGAAGTTCAATTCCACTGTTAGCTCTGTTACTGTTAGCCCAATTGGGAAGCCCACTTTGGTAAGCTCGTCCAGTGCTATTATTTCAAATACCATAAATATGGAAACCCTGGCTGTTTTTAAATTGCGTAGAGGGCTTGGACTGTTACAACTACTTGTCCAGTGGTTGTTGCTAATGATCTCAGTGATCACTGTCTTATTGCATGTATTAAAGATTACCAAAACAATTTAATCCATTTACGGCTGTAACGTAACAAAATGTGTAAAAGGTCAAGGGGTCTGAATATTTTCTGAATGCGCTGTATGTATGTATGTATGTATGTATTATTGTATGTATGTGTATGTATTTATGTATGTATATATATACAGTACCAGTCAAAAGTTTGAACACACCTACTCATTCAAGGGTTTTTCTTTATTTTTACTATGTTCTACATTGTAGAATAATAATGAAGACATAACTATGAAATAACACATTGGAATCATGTAGTAACCAAAAAGTGTTAAACAAATCAAACTATTCATATTTGAGATTCTGCTTTGCACACTCTTGGCATTCTCTCAACCAGCTTCATGAGGTAGTCACCTGGTATACATTTCAATTAACAGGTGTGCCTTGTTAAAAGTTAATTTGTGGAATTTATTTCCTTCTTAATGCGTTTGAGCCAATCAGTTGTGTTGTGACAAGGTAGGGGTGGTATACAGAAGATAGGCCTATTTGGTAAAAGAACAGCTCAAATAAACAAAGAAAAATGACAGTCCATCATTACTTTAAGTTATGAAGGTCAGTGAATACAGAACATTTTAAGAACTTTTAAAGTTTCTTCCAGTGCAGTTGCAAAAACCATCAAGCGCTATGATGAAACAGGCTCTCATGAGGACTGCCACAGGAAAGGAAGACCCAGAGTTACCTCTGCTGCAGAGGATAAGTTCATTAGAGTTACTTGCACCTCAGACTGCAGACCAAGTAAATGCTTCACAGAGTTCAAGTAACAGACACATCTCAACATCAACTGTTCAGAGGAGACTGCGTGAATCAGGCCTTCATGGTCGAATTGCTGCAAAGAAACCACTGCTAAAGGACACCACTAAGAAGAAGAGACTTGTTTGGGCCAAGAAACATGAGCAATGGACATTAGATCGGTGGAAATCTGTCCTTTGGTCTGATGAGTCCAAATTTGAGATTTTTGGTTACAACGGCTGTGTCTTTGTGAGACGCAGAGTAGGTGAATGGATGATCTCTGCATGTGTGGTTCCCACCGTGAAGCATGGAGGAGGAGGTGTGATGGTGCGTTGCTGGTGACACTGTCTGGGATTATTTTTAGAATTCAAGGCACACTTAACCAGCATGGCTACCACAGCATTCTGCAGCGATACGCCATCCCATCTGGTTTGCGCTTATTGGGACTATCGCTTTTTTTTCAACAGGACAATGACTCAAAACACACCTCCAGGCAGTGTAAGGGCTATTTGACCAAGGAGAGTGATGGAGTGCTGCATCAGATGACCTGGCCTCCATAATCACCCGACCTCAACCCAATTGAGGTGGTTTTGGATGAGTTGGACCGCAGAGTGAAGGAAAAGGAGCCACCAAGTGAAATAAAACAATTAAAATAATAATAAAAATAAAAATAATACAGTGGCTTGCGAAAGTATTCACCCCCCTTGGCATTTGTTCTATTTTGATGCCTTACAACCTGGAATTAAAATTGTTTTTTTGGGGGTTTGTATAAATTGATTTACACAACATGCCTACCACTTTGAAGATGCAAAATATATTTTTGGGTGAAACAAACAAGAAATAAGACAAAAAAACAGAAAACATGAGCGTGCATAACTATTCACCCCCTCCAAAGTTAATACTTTGTAGAGCCACCTTTTGCAGCAATTACAGCTGCAAGTCTCTTGGAGTATGTCTCTATAAGCTTGGCACATCTAGCCACTGTGATTTCTGCCCATTCTTCAAGGCAAAACTGCTCCAGCTCCTTCAAGTTGGATGGGTTCCGCTGGTGTACAGCAATCTTTAAGTCATATCACAGATTCTCAATTGAATTGAGGTCTGGGCTTTGACTAGGCCATTCCAAGACATTTAAATGTTTCCCCTTAAACCACTTGAGTTTTGCTTCAGCAGTATGGTTAGGTTCATTGTCCTGCTGGAAGGTGAATCTCCGTCCCAGTCTCAAATCTTTGGAAGACTAAAACAGGTTTCCCTCAAGAATTTCCCTGTATTTAGTGCCATCCATCATGCCTTCAATTCTGACCAGTTTCCCAGTCCCTGCCGATGAAAAACATCCCCACAGCATGATGCTGCCACCACCATGCTTCACTGTGGGGATGGTGTTCTCGGGGTGATGAGAGGTGTTGGGTTTGCGACAGACATTGCATTTTCCTTGATGTCCAAAAAGCTCAATTTTAGTCTAATCTGACCAGAGTCCCTTCTTCCATATGTTTGGGGAGTCTCCCACATGCCTTTTGGCAAACACCACATGTGTTTGCTTATTTTTTTCTTAAAAGCAATGGCTTTTTTTCTGGCCACTCTTCCGTAAAGCCCAGCTCTGTGGAGTGTACGACTTAAAGTGGTCCTATGGACAGATACTCCAATCTCCGCTGTGGAGCTTTGCAGCTCCTTCAGGGTTATCTTTGGTCTCTTTGTTGCCTCTCTGATTAATACCCTCCTTGCCTGGTCCGTGAGTTTTGGTGGGCGGCCCTCTCTTGGCAGGTTTGTTGTGGTGCCATATTCTTTCAATTTTTTAATAATGGATTTAATGGTGCTCCATGGGATGTTCAAAGGATATTTTTTTATAACCCAACCCTGATCTGTACTTCTCCACAACTTTGTCCCTGACCTGTTTGGAGAGCTCCTTCGTCTTCATGGTGCCGCTTGCTTGGTGGTGCCCCTTGCTTAGTGGTGTTGCAGACTCTAGGGCCTTTCACAGAACAGGTGTTTATATTCTGAGATCATGTGACAGATCATGTGACACTTAGATTGCACACAGGTGGACTTTATTTAACTAATTATGTGACTTCTGAAGGTAATTGGTTGCACCAGATCTTATTTAGGGGCTTCATAGCAAAGGGGGTGAATACATATGCACGCACCACTTTTCCGTTATTTATTTTGTAGAGTTTTTTGAAACAAGTTATTTTTTTCATTTCACTTCACCAATTTGGACTATTTTGTGTATGTCCATTACATGAAATCCAAATAAAAATCCATTGAAATTACAGGTTGTAATGCAACAAAATAGGAAAAGCGCCAAGGGGGCTGCATACTTTTGCAAGGCAGTGTATGTGGGAACTCCTTCAAGTCTGTTGGAAAAGCATTTCATGAAGCTGGTTGAGAGAATGCCAAGAATGCGCAAAGCTGTCATCAAGGCAAAGGTGGATACTTTGAAGAATATAAAATATAAAATATTTTTTGATTAGTTTAACACTTTTTTTGGTTACTACATGATTCCGTATGTGTTATTTCATAATTTTGATGTCTTCCCTATTGTTCTACAATGTAGAAAATAGTAAAAATAAAGAAAAACCCTGGAATGCGTAGGTGTCCAAACTTTTGACTGGTACTGTTTATAGAGGAATATGGTGCCATTTGAGACGCAGACCAGGAAATAGGAGCCTGATAGCCACAGACGGCTGGCTGCTAGGGCTCTCATTCCTGCGCCAGGCATTAGCTAATATATCGCTGACCAAATGCTCACACCAATACACCCCTGGAAATCATCACATAGCTGAAGATAGCTGAGAAAATGCCTCTTAAAAAGCTTGAAGCCTGTGGAAGTCAGCAGACTCTTACAACATTCTTTAAAGACCCAGTGCAGTCCAAATAAAAGGTATCCTGTGTTTTATATCATATTGTACAACAGCTGATGAAACTAACACTCTAAAAGTGTGAAAGAAATGTATCAGTGTTATTTCCTGATAGTTGCTGGTTGAAAATACAATCTAGCATTAGAGTGTACCAGATGCCACCAAAATAGAGCTGTTCGGCCAAAAAAATCTTAACACCCCCCTCGCCCAGGGGAGCCTGGCTGGCTACTTTTTCGATTTGGCTGGCTACTCCATGTGCTTGTGGAAAACACTAATAAATATGTTCATACTTTGTGACAGTACAATATTGGCACTATTTTATGTAACTGACAACAGAGAATTTTCTCCTAAACGTCCACTGAGTGGAATTTCCGCTTTAAGCACAAAGTGATTTAGTCAATCTGTGACCAAGAGAAAGTGGTATTCTTTCAATTCTATGAAATGATTTAGTATTTTTAATGTTGAGAGCTCTAAATATCACAGCGAGTTGAAACCACAATAGCTGGACTCGCTAGACTGTCCCAGTTCATATGCCGTCTCCCAGGCTGGGCTTGCTTGCTCTGTCTGGATAGGCCAGAAAATGTAACATGTCAGTCCCTATGCAGATGTGTGGGCTGAAACCTGACTCTTCAAGTCAGCTCCGCTGAGAGAATGGAAACGGAGAGCGGACTGATGTTTTTTTGGGGGCATTATAAGGCACAGGACCCTACGGCGTTCACAGAGTGCTTTGAACACCAAAATGTCAGTCGGAACCGGTCCAGAACCGCTCAAAGTCCCGCATATGGGTAACTTGACTTAAAACGTCTACTTTTTCATCCCTCATTACTATGACACACCCCTCACTGTGGTCATTAGTTGCACTAATTGCAGTGTTTTCTATATAACTTGGTTCAAGCATTCATGATATTAACCAGAAGAAGGCACTGCGATGCCGAAAGGCTGGTGGTTTACCCAATGCATTTCTGGGAGCTTATACATATAGTGTGTGACTCTCTTTATTATTATACATTTTTATAGCCTACATTCAGTTTCTGACACATATAAAGAGAGTGTCTGCCTGACACATGACAAACAAACATGCCATACTTTATTGGCCCTGGTCAAAAGTAGTGCATTGTATAGGGAATTTAGTGCCATTTGGGACGTAGCCCAGATTATCATGTTTTATTTAGTGGAGAGGCCCAAGTCCATTGCTCTTTTTCTTCTGAATTGTTCCATAGAGCTTTGTCAGTTCCCTCATACTTCTGTCTCACCAATAAAACCTATTTCCCATCTTCATTTACAGGAGAAGGGTCAAACTCTCTCTCCATCTCTTTCTCTCTCCCTCCCTTCTCTTCTGCTCAGTAACCGGTAAAAATAGAGCTTCATAAATCATGCATCTTCTCTCAAAGCAGTGTGTGTGTGAGAGAGAGGGAGAGAGAAAGAGAGGGATGGAGGGAAAGGAGAGATGAAATATAAACAAAAGAGGGGAAGCAGATGACATCAAACTGCGAGAGAAGGACAGAGCGGCAATGTTGTCACTGGTGAATGGGTTGGGACCCCAGGCTCTGGGCTGCCCTCTTTTTTTCCTCTTCCCTTCACTGACTCCTTCGCTCTCTGTGAATGTCATACTGAACAGTCCACTGCTGTCCTGCTTTGGACTGCCTCATCCTTATCAAACTCAGTGACCCATGAAGACGTGGATACACACACACAAACGTGTACACACACACGCGCACGCACACAAACATGTGTGCATGTGCACACACACACACACACACACACTCATACACACACAGAAGGACAAATAATCACAGGAGGAGGGAAAGGAGAGAACGCTGGACAGTGAAAGTCAAAGTCACATGACATTGTTGTTGTCTAATTTCAGATTTGACAGGATGGATTAGCCATCAGAGAAATGGTTGCCTGTGTGTGTCCCCTCAATGACAACACAGAGGAGGGATCTGTCCTGGAGAACACTACTCAGCTGAGATGCACACATACAGTACACACACACACCCATCTACACAAAAACGTGCTCACGCACACACACACACACACACACACACACACACACACACACACACACACACACACACACACACACACACACACACACACACTACAAAATCAATTTTGAATGTGCATTTAATAAGGATCTTCCTGGGGTCCAGCAAAATTAAGGCAGTTAAATCCAATGGGACTAGAATGAGTCACATTGCAGTGTGCACACATATCAGGTCACTTTCTTTCATGGACCTTAACCCGAAAACCTAACCTTAACCCTAAATTTAACCCTAGCTCATAACCCTAACCCTAAACCTCATTCTAACCCTAACACTCATTCTAACCATAGCATTTGACCCCAGTTGGTCACATTTTTGTTCATTTACTATTCTTGTGGGGACTTCTGGTCCCCACAAGTATAGTTAAACACGTCCACACACACACACACACACACACACACACACACACACACATACACACACACACACACACACACACACTGGGAGAGCAGAGAAAGTGAGGTCAACCACTGTTTTAATAAGTGATGGGGTCTGATAGAAGAACCCTGGTCGCTCACCACTGGTAGCCTAGGTGTGAGAGTGAAAAGTTCAGCACAATCCCACAAATACCAGAGACAGAAAAACAGCAACCTCTCCAGAAAAGACCTCCATATTTCATGAGCACTTCTCCCCCACTTCAGATGTACACACGGAAACCAATTCAACTGATTTATCGCAGTTTAAACCCCACATAGAGGGTCACCGCTACCGCTGAGCAGGAGGGGAGGATTTGCTTTATAGCATGGTTCTTCCTGACTGCCCACTAGAAAAGTACATGGCTTTTTATGAATTGTTAAAGTTCATTTTTACGATATATCTCACTTTGATGTGTATGCAGGCACGTGCACAGATCGGGCTCGACCTGTGCAGAGCACGTACCTTTGCCCTTCCAGTCTTCAAAGTGCCCTTTTGGGTAGTGGTATAATTTCCCCCAAAATGATTTTGTTGTATAATTTTTTTTGTCATTGTTGTTCGGAACCCACTGCCCGCAGGTTGGTTGCGCCTGTTGATCTGCCCTGTACGGAGCTCGTCAGTTGATATGGCTGATATGGTGTGTGTGTGCGTGCGTGTGTGTGCACGTGTTACTCACCAGTGCGTGTAGGCGGGGGCGTGCATTGACAGCGTGTCTGAGGGCCAGTCTGACCAGCACATGAAACCTCATCATCACGGCCTCCACGTCCTGCTCCCCCCTCATGGCCCCCGCCAACTTCCCTAGCCCTTCCACGTACCCCTTCCAGTGTGGCTGTACCTCCGCAGCGCCACCCAGGCACCCCGCCATCACAGCCTGGCAAAACCCTTTACATGCCGGGGCCCCCAGCAGGCCCTGGCAGTGTGGGCAGTACCACAGCCTCAGCAGGGCACGCCCACAGTCCCTCCCCGGGCGCAGGTGGTCTGTGGTGTTGACGACCTCAATGCCCAGGTTCAGCGCCTGCAGGAAGACACGCGTGGCCAGGAGGGAGCGTGACAAACGAGTCATCATGAGTTTAGGGTAAGGGCCAAACACTATGGAGTCCTTCCACGCCCTCCGCAGGCACTCCTCAGACATGGGTGCGGTGCCACCCCCCAGCAGGCGTCGGTAGGTCAGAGGGAAGAGGCGGGTGAAGAATGCCTGGACCATGTGATCCACGCTGGAGTCCGAGCCCAGGATGTATAGAGACACGTCCAGAAAGAGATGGCCCACCGCCCCCTGGGCCCCACCCCCCAGCCCTGGGAAGTCCTCCTTCAGCATCAGCAGGGTGGAGTTATGGCCGTGACGCAACACCAACTCAAAGGCCTCTGGGGGGGGGGGGGGGGGGGGGATAAGATAGGGGGAGGGAGGGAGGGAGGGAGGGGGAGAGAGAAAGACTGTTAGAAAAAAAAGTGCTGTTTTAAAACTAGAAATGAGATGACTCACTAATTTCTAGTAAACAGATCAATAAAAAAAAAGCATTCGCAATCATTTTCAAATACAATCTCTTTCACAAACACATTCAGAGGAAACTTTCCCCACACACACACTCAAACAAACACTAAAACACACACTCTCAAATGCACACCTTCGTGTTATCATCTGCCTGAGACGGAGGCTTGTACACTAAACAATGCAAAGCTTCCACATCAAATGAGAACCACAATTTTGGGTTTAGACTTTTCTGACACTACAAAAGAGCATGTTTCAACAGTCTTAGCCACTTCAAAAGCATCTCATTAATCCTGATTTGAGCCGCCAAACCTAGATTTTAACATTTAACATTTAACATTTAAGTCATTTAGCAGACGCTCTTATCCAGAGCGATCCAGTGGCCTGTATTGCCTTGGAGATATCTGGAAGAGAAAGGCACAAAGCAGGCAGGAGGGAGGGAGGGGCGTTGTCGACGAGAGGCAGGGAAATAATCACAGGCGTTTCAAGGCACTAAGTGATGTCTTACCAACACTGTGGCAAAGAGGCACACTCTTCATCTTTCACCCCCGTCCCCCCGTCCCCACTCCCCCAGCCCAGAAGAAGAAGGCAGGGGGAAACAACAAAAGAGACCGGGGAGAGATTTTAGGGTTCTATTACTGCACTGGGCAGGGGAGCTGGCTGGGAGTTACTGTCAGCATCCCAAATGGTACCCTATTCCCATTACTTTTGACAAGAGCCCTTGACCCATAGGTTTCTGGTCAAAAGTAGCGCACTATATAGGGAATACAGTAGGGTGCCATTTGTGACGCAACCACTGAGCTGGAGTACACAACTCAAAAAAATAAAGGGAACACTAAAATAACATCCTAGATCTGAATGAATGAAATAATCTTATTAAATACTTTTTTCTTTACATAGTTGAATGTGCTGACAACAAAATCACACAAAAATTATCAATGGAAATCAAATTTATCAACCCATGGAGGTCTGGATTTGGAGTCACACTCAAAATTAAAGTGGAAAACCACACTACAGGCTGATCCAACTTTGATGTAATGTCCTTAAAACAAGTCAAAATGAGGCTCAGTAGTGTGTGTTGCCTCCACGTGCCTGTATGACCTCCCTACAATGCCTGGGCAATTTCCTGATGAGGTGGCGGATGGTCTCCTGAGGGATCTCCTCCCAGACCTGGACTAAAGCATCCGCCAACTCCTGGACAGTCTGTGGTGCAACGTGGCGTTGGTGGATGGAGCGAGACATGATGTCCCAGATGTGCTCAATTGGATTCAGGTCTGGGGAACGGGCGGGCCAGTCCATAGCATCAATGCCTTCCTCTTGCAGGAACTGCTGACACACTCCAGCCACATGAGCATTGTCTTGCATTAGGAGGAACCCAGGGCCAACCGCACCAGCATATGGTCTCACAAGGGGTCTGAGGATCTCATCTCGGTACCTAATGGCAGTCAGGCTACCTCTGGCGAGCACATGGAGGGCTGTGCGGCCCCCCAAAGAAATGCCACCCCACACCATGACTGACCCACCGCCAAACAGGTCATGCTGGAGGATGTTGCAGGCAGCAGAACGTTCTCTACGGTTTCTCCAGACTCTGTCACGTCTGTCAAATGTGCTCAGTGTGAATCTGCTTTCATCTGTGAAGAGCACAGGGCGCCAGTGGCGAATTTGCCAATCTTGGTGTTCACTGGCAAATGCCAAACGTCCTGCACGGTGTTGGGCTGTAAGCACAACACCCACCTGTGGACGTCGGGCCCTCATACCACCCTCATGGAGTCTGTTTCTGACCGTTTGAGCAGACACATGCACATTTGTGGCCTGCTGAAGGTCATTTTGCAGGGCTCTGGCAGTGCTCCTCCTGCTCCTCCTTGCACAAAGGCGGAGGTAGCAGTCCTGCTGCTGGGTTGTTGCCCTCCTACGTCTCCTCCACGTCTCCTGATGTACTGGCCTGTCTCCTGGTAGCGCCTCCATGCTCTTGATACTACGCTGACAGACACAGCAAACCTTCTTGCCATAGCTCGCATTGATGTGCCAACCTGGATGAGCTGCACTACCTGAGCCACTTGTGTGGGTTGTAGACTCCGTCTCATGCTACCACTAGAGTGAAAGCACCACCAGCATTCAAAAGTGACCAAAACATCAGCCAGGAAGCATAGGAACTGAGAAGTGGTCTGTGGTCACCACCTGCAGAACCACTCCTTTATTGGGGGTGTATTGCTAATTGCCTATCATTTCCACCTGTTGTCTATTCCATTTGCACAACAGCATGTGACATTTATTGTCAATCAGTGTTGCTTCCTAAGTGGACATTTTGATTTCACAGAAGTGTGATTGACTTGGAGTTACATTGTGTTGTTTATGTGTTCCCTTTATTTTTTCGAGCAGTGTATTTGCGCCCAAGGTATTGGAGAACAGATTTTGTTATGACTAGTCAACTTGTAGCCTAGTGGTTAGAGCGTTGGGACAAGTAACCGAAAGGTTGAATCCCAGAGCCGGCAAGGTGGAAAAATCTGCTGTTCTACCCGTGAGCAAGGCAGTTAACCCCCACAACTGCTTGCTGAAGGTGTTGATTAAGGCAGCCCCCTGCACCTCTCTGATTCAAAGGGGTTGGGTTAAATGCAGAAAACACACTTTGGTTCAATGCATTCAGCTGTGTAACTGACTAGGTATCTACTTTTCATTTACTGCCTGAAAACTTCTATGCACCCTAATTCACACCAGTGAACTGAGGGTGAACTTGGATATGGTTACTGGGAGTGCCTGATGATCCTGAAGAAAATGAAATGTAACTACCCCAAATAGATTAAAACAATAACACATCAAATGTCAGAAATGTCTTATATATCCCTCCTGGATGAAATGGCGTACAAACAATGAATTTGAATTGAATTTGAATTGGCCACACCCCACAGGAAGCACAATAAAACATGTATTTGAATTGAAGGAGGTAGAATTTAATTAAAAGCAATTCAAACCAATTCAAGTGAGACATGAAACATAAAAGTCTCATTCATTTGACAAATATTTTATCAAAAGGATATGCCACCTATTAATGCAAAGAATACACATACCATTTCAAATATGAATTTGATTATAACTCAAAGATGACAAACAGTATTATTCTTTGTCATGAGACATTAGATTGTTCCCTTCTATAAGGCAGTGTATGATCTAATGCATTTCGGGAAATGTATTTTCTTCTGATATTTAAAAACGTTAAGTGAATTATGATCTTAGAATATTTTAAATTGTTTTAGGAGTATACATGATGTAAAAATAAACATTTGTAGGGTCGTGTGTTGAATAAATAAGTCATTTGAATTTAATTGAATTCCTTTCATTCAAACTCAAATTAAATTCTGGTTTCTGTGTAATGTAGTCAATTCAAATTAATTTCAAATTTAATAATTTAATTCAAATTAAAGAGCAATTCACAACTTCATTCAGAATTGACCCCAACCCTGCTGACAATGTCCCTCTAGACAGCAGAGCCCACACTGTGCTACCTCTCAGTCTGCGTTCTGTTCCCTCTCCAAATGAGGGTACGCATCTGGAGGGAGGGGGTGTTTTGGTGTGCCTCATATTGGATTTTTGGGTTGGGTTGTCCCGCTGTGCCTGAGATGCACTTCCCTCTGTGATCAATGAGACAGACAGATGTGCTGAATGCCAGACAGGCTGGCAGGAGGGTGACATACACGCTACACATACACACACACACACTGAAGCGTACAATGCTCACGTAAATACACTTTTTTTTTAAACACAAAATTAGAGAATATAAAAATAATAATTAAATTAAGAGAGGAGTGAGCAGACAGACATATTCATTCTCCCTCCTTCTTTAAGGCCAACCATGTCATTCAGATGCCATATTGCTTACAGACCCTAGTAGAGAGAGCTACTTTATAATGGAATACAGATGCTGTAAGTACTGTATGTGGGGTCACAGAGCTCAGTGTAATAACCATTGTAGAGCCATTTCCTAGACATGCTCCTCCCTGCTCGCTTCCTCTCAAGAGGCCAGGGCCTGGAGGGCTGGGTGGGATCAGGTGTCCTCTAATGGAGCGAGAGGGGGTGTGTGTCAGGGACCTAAGATTGTGTTCCAAATGGCACACTAGGCACCCTATTCCCTATGTAGTCCACTACTACAGTTGAAGTCGGACGTTTACATTCACCTTAGCCAAATACATTCAAACTCAGTTTTTCACATTCCTGACATTTAATCCTAGTAAAAATTCCCTGTCTTAGGTCAGTAAGGATCACCACTTTATTTTAAGAATGTGAAATGTCAGAATAATAGTAGAGAGAATGATTTATTTCAGCTTTTATTTATTTCATCACATTCCCAGTGGGTCAGAAGTTTACATTCACTCAATTAGTATTTGGTAGCATTGCCTCTAAATTGTTTAACTTTGGTCAAACGTTTCGGGTAGCCTTCCACAAGCTTCCCACAATAAGTTGGGTGAATTTTGGCCCATTCCTCCTGACAGAGCTGGTGTAACTGAGTCAGGTTTGTAGGCCTCCTTGCTCGCACACGCTTTTTCAGGGCTTTGTGATGGCCACTCCAATACCTTGACTTTGTTGTCCTTAAGCCATTTTGCCACAACTTTGGAAATATGCTTGAGGTCATTGTCCATTTGGAAGACCCATTTGTGACCAAGCTTTAACTTCCTGACTGATGTCTTGATGTTGCTTCAATATATCCACATAATCTATTTTGTGAAGTGCACCAGTCCCTTCTGCAGCAAAGCACCCCCACTGCATGATGCTGCCACCCCCGTGCTTCACGGTTGGGATGGTGTTCTTCGGCTTGCAACCACACCCTTTTTCCTCCAAACATAACGATGGTCATTACGGCCAAACAGTTCTATTTTAGTTTCATCAGACCAGAGGACATTTCTCCAAAAAGTATGATCTTTGTCCCCATGTGCAGTTGCAAACCGTAGTCTGGCTTTTTTATGGAGGTTTTGGAGCAGTGGCTTCTTCCTTGCTGAGCGGCCTTTCAGGTTATGTCGATATAGGACTTATTTTACTGTGGATATAGATACTTTTGTACCTGTTTCCTCCAGCATCTTCACAAGGTCCTTTGCTGTTGTTCTGGGATTGATTTGCACTTTTGGCAGCAAAGTACGTTCATCTCTAGGAGACAGAACGCGTCTCCTTCCTGAGCGGTATGACGGCTGCGTGGTCCCATGGAGTTTATACTTGCGTACTATTGTTTGTATAGATGAACGTGGTACCTTCAGGTGTTTGGAAATTGCTCCCAAGGATGAACCAGACTTGTGGAGGTCTACACATTTTTTTCTGAGGTCTTGGCTGATTTCTTTGGATCTTCCCATGATGTCAAGCAAAGAGGCACTGAGTTTGAAGGTAGGCCTTGAAAGACATCCACAGGTACACCTCCAATTGACTCAAACAATGTCAATTAGCCTATCAGAAGCTTCTAAAGCCATGACATCATTTTCTGGAATTTTCCAAGCTGTTTAAAGGCACAGTCAACAGTGTATGTAAACTTCTGACCCACTGGAATTGTGATACAGTGAAT